GGGCAACTTTCAACCACCGGGCAAATAGTCCTCCAGTCACACACAAAGCTGCAGGCACATCATGTATCCCATGACTTAAAAGCACATCAGAAAGATCAACAGAGCTGCCTGGTCATGGTGTAAAGTTCAATTCCAATTTTATGTGAAGAATGTGGAATTTCTTTACTGTAAGGGTTGTAAAGCACTGGAAAGGGCTTCCCTGGGAAGGTGATGGAGTCACCATCCCTGGAGGTGTTTAAAAGACAAGAGATGTCGTGCTTAGGGACATGGTCTAGTGGGGGACTTAGGGCTGGTTTGATGGTTGGACTTGATGGTCTTTTCCAACCAAAACCATTCTATGATTCTATGAATCACTGCATTTTTATTCCTCTTAAGCTAGGAAGCTGTTGCCATGAGGAAACCTTGGAAAGAAGCTATGACAGGGAACATCAGTTACAGTATTTTGTCTGGATCTGGTGAAGCATAGGTGGTCCCACTCGCATAGATGAGTTGTTTCACCCTCATTCCTCAGTTTCCACTGCTCCTTCTTGCAGTCAGCAACCATGACTGCTCCTCAGATGCTGTTAACACAAACCTAAGAATGTTTTCAAATGGAAATTTGGAAAAAAATAGCAAGGAGAGTCTCCTGGAATAAAAAGACCCCTGTTGAGTTGACAAGGCTGTGGTAATGAGAGGAAATTAGCTCCTCAGTTTAGCTTTGTTTTGAGTAGGGCTTGTCAAATTCTATTAAAAATAATGATGTAATTTTTCTCTCCCCCAGCCCTCTTATACTAAAATGAGTTTTCAAATGAAAGTTTGTTGTAGAAGGATGTTCTTCTCAAAAATACTAACTTTTTGATAGGAAAATTTGTTTGTTTTGATGCTGTCCACAAAGCTTCATTTTTTTCTTTGGTTTTGTCAAAAGCTCAATGTTTTTATCAACAAAATGCTGCCATTATTCCTCTCAGCATTTTCTTTGTGCCAGGTGCAACTGGAGGCTTTCCCCAAATAACAGTTACCGCAACAATAATGACACCAATAGGTAAAGTCTGCCCATCTCATGAATGAGCCCGATTTTTATTTCTCTTCATCACAGAAGTAATCCCACATTTGTTGTACACACTGTTGGTTGCTGTGTTACGGGACATATCACCATGTACCAGATGCTTTACTCTTGCAGAAGCATTTCTAATGGAGATGGACGCTTCTGTTAGCTGAATTTTAGAACAACAGCAAAAAATAATAATACAAAACCAAAATATCATCTTCAGCTGCATAGCAAATATGGATCAAAAATTTAACACCGTATCAGATCACGAGCGTAAATATACCTCACCATAAATAAAATTCATTGTACAAAATAACTCAAGCAGCTTTTCATACAAATATGGTACATTTGACAAGAGTTTCTTGAGAATATTTTCTTGTTTTTTTTTTTTACACCTTCAATTCTTTTTTCTTTTGTTCTCAAACACACATGAACCTACTGGACTGGAGTAATGCAGGAGAGAAAGGACTAACATGTTGTTCAATGCTAGTAAGTGCTGTCAGAGTTTAAAAGGAAAATCCTTGAAGTGCTGAGCTTGAACTAGTTTGCTTCCCCTTTCTATTGTATCATCAGAAGTCAAGTGTAGCATCATCCACAAAAGGCAAGTGCACTGCCAATAGTCACCGTTTATAATGTTAAAATAGCCTAGTCTGACTTCATTCCCAACACAGGCCATTCTTTCTCCCCCTGTAATTCCTCTATCGAGCCAACAACTTGTATTTGAAGTAGATGTTCCAAGTGGTGGCTGGTAAGTCCTGGGGAGTTTGCAGACTACTTCAGAGTAAGCAGGAAAATGTAGGTAAAAAAGCAGGCCCATAATCAGTGGACTTAAAGTATCCAGACAGGGGTCCACATTTCCCTATAAATACAAAAAAATAGGGGTCCACAGACTGTAAAAGGTTGAAAACTATAGGATTAGAGCATATCTGCAAGGAAGACACCCAAACTTGGCAGAAAGTGTGGAGAACTGACCCTGTGGCAATCTGTTACTATTTATCTGTGCTGTCACAAATTTGTTCCCTATTTCCATTACCAATAATGACATTAAAAAAAGGATAGGAGGAAAAAAAATTCCATTTTCATGCAGTTCTTTAAAGACCTAAGCCTGGAGCTCTTTTTCATACACAGTCAAGGAAGGATAGCGAACTGAAGCTAAAAACTATTTGCATTCTTTAGATAATAAAATGATGACAACATCAAATCTCAGAAATGAAGACCATAAGATTATTCCTAGCTGATACCTCATACTACTTGAGCAACAAGGGAAAACATCTGCATACACTCTACAGTCAAAAACACTTTACATTTTGTTCGTGCACTTTGGACATTTTGCTCAAAACATTTAATCCCTTGGAATCTGAAGGGATTTTACGTTTTTGCCAGCAAATCTGAGGGCAACAGATAGATTTCATCTACCTGTTCTTTCAAGTACGTGCAACTGTATTTTGCAGGGTTTCAGAGAATTATTATGGCAAAACTACAGCAAAAGAATGCAAAGGGATATTCATGCTTAGGTAAAATACCTCATGAGTCATTCCAGACCTAAACAGATGAAAACAGGCGTTTAAATTCACCTTACTATGTCCTGTTGTGTCTAGGTAGCTGAGACTGGGCTATGTAGTGAAGTTCATCCTTTTGTAGTAACTTCTTACTCATGCTGGTTTCTGAGAAGACTCCAACATCCCACAATGTGTCAGACACAGTAGGACATTTAATTTGTGCTGTGCCCACAGGTGGCTCTGAGAGCCAGACAGGGACTTGTGCCACCTTTTCAGCAACACTTTCATACCAAAATAACAAGCACTTACTATGTAGGTCAGGAAAATAGGATCTTGGTTAGATCTATCTTCCTCATATCTCGTTTTCCACAAAAAATAAAGTGCTTGATTCTCCTTTTTCCCTTTTAAAAAATATATATCTGTAGATACTCTCACTCCAGTAGTGTAGAAGTGTTGGACCATGTTGCAAAACCAGAACTGACATCCCTAGTGGAAGAGTAAACAGAGAACAAGAGCCCTGCAGTGTCATTGAGGCCCAGATGCTCTTCTGTTGCTTCTCCTCACAACATGGAGAAAACAACTCACCTTGCCGAGCTGGGTCCTTCCCTGCCACTCACAGATTTCAGCCAGACTTCCCGAGATTTCATGTTACTTTCAGATGACTGTGCCACACAATTTCCTCCCTGCAGTTTAAATGTCTGCCTTGGTAATTAAAGGAAACTCGAGGTGTGAAAATATCCAGTGCTTTTCACGTGTGGGGTATTTATTGATTATCAAGGGAGTAGGTGGTGAGTGTCCAGGAGAACAAATTCATCTCACCCAGCAAGATCTCCTCTTGCTAATAGTACTTTGCTGGCTGTTGTTTCCTAAGACAAAATACTCCAGCTGGAACACTTCTCCTAATTAATTACATGTTCCTTCTACGAGAATAAATGCCCAGGCTCTGCCTTTTTAACACCTGTAGTAGTATGCACTTCACCAGGCATGATGAAAGGAATATGTAGTATCACATCTCTATGCTGTAACAGCAGTTATCTGCTGTGACCTGCCTAAAGCTGAGAGACTAAAATATTGCCAGTGATGAGGCTAGCATCATTTTCTCTTGGAGCATGTGGTTTGATCTCCTTTAACTTCAAGCACGAGCTTTTGTATCACTTCAGTGACACTACTGAGGGGAAGCAGGGAAGACCATGAGTTATGAAATCCTCCTTGAAGTTCCTACTGAATTTGTTCTCAATATCCAGGGATCTTAGATTAGCTGAGTGGGACAAGAAAACAGACTCCAGAGTTCCCTCTGAGTACCTTTAAACCTGGGAAATTCTGGGTATTTTTTAATGCTTATCCTGTATTTTACCTCTTCTAAACAATCTCATCATTTCTGAGCGATGGGAAGTTTCCTAAGCCCTGCTGACAGTCACCATTTTCTGAAGAAAGGTATTTGGTCACTGTGCCACTCGGAATTTGTCTAAAATGAGGGAAAATAGCATCCCAGAACATACACAAATTACACACCCCAGCTCTCATCCTTAGCTGAAGATCAAAGATCACATATGTTCAAGGTAACTACGTGTGCCTCCTGTCAGGACCAGTGATTATTTCTACCCAAATGAATATGTTCAAGAGCACATTCACAGGAATGCAGCCTCTTCTGTAGTCTGCAAGAAATCTTGTTTAGTCCATGGAAGATGTGTCTTCGGGGGAGAACCTTTTGCATTAAAAGAAGTGCATGTCCCATAACAGGGGGAAAAAACCAGGCCATTTTCTCTTTCCTCAGCTCTGAAGTGCTGAGGAGTTATTTGTCAACTACATCATAGCTATTCTGAAACCCGTGTGCCAAAGGTCCCTTTAACAGATGCCAGAATGGCCAACAGCATGGCAGAGGGCACAGAGGCAGCCCTTGCCTGGGGCATCCAGCCCAGCATGGCTCTTCTGCGCCCATCATTTGATCCTCATGGTGCTGCCACAGGTGGTATCCTGCCTTCATCCCTTCTTCCCCCAAAAAAGTCAATCAGGAGCTCGTTCTCAGACCCTTCTGCTCCATGGCTGGTGGCACACGTCACCGGGGGTGTTTGTTTGCCCCATTGCTTCTGCGGTGGGAGTGGGCTCCCGGCACTGCGGAAACATGGAGCTCTTCCACCAGGATCCCCACGTTTGGGGCTGCAATATGGCTTCAGAGTGATGTGTTCGACTGGATGAATCACAGGGAAAAAACAGACCACTTCATGGAAGAAAAGCACATTTCACCCACCCGCCCCCACCCACCCCCAAGTCTGAAAGCTACAAGTAAAACCGATCACAGGGATGGTACAGAAGAACATGCACTCAAACAGGGCTGGATGGGAAGACGCGTCCTCATGTGTAGTAGGCATACCCAGTCTTTGTTGCCAGGTCTCACGCCGTTGAGTTTACCCCTCCCAGCTGTGCTGGGTTCAGTCTCTTCTCCCTTCCCAACCCGTGCGGGGTCAGTGTCCACACTAGCAGGTGGTGGCCAGTGACTGGTGGATTGGGGGCTGGAAGCAGCGCACGTGCTCCACCGTGGAACTGTCTGTTTCCACTGACTTCATGTACTTGTTCAGGATGGCAAATATCTCGTTGTTCAGGATCTGATACTTCCTGATCCTGTCGGCCATCTTCTTCAAGGGCTGGAGCGATGGTGAGGGAGAAAAACAGCAGATGAAGAGAGTCTTATGTCATCTGAGTGGCTAGAAAGTACCAGTAGCTCTGCCCTGCTGCTCAGAAACCTTTGCTAAAGCAAAGCAGCTACAACACGTGTTACAGTTCCACTTAGCACCTCCCAGGGGCTGGTGACTCACTTCATTATAGGGTTTGATGACTCAAGACAGGGCATTAACAAGGTCAGTGAGTGGTCCCGAGTTAACCGATCTAAAGTCTAGACTCCCAGCCGCTTATTGATAAAGCCACTGAGATCACAGGATGGTTGCTGGAAATACCAGCTTCTCTGCTCCAGTTTCCCAACCCCAGGAAGAAACAAAAAGCTTTGGGAGAAAAAAGATTTCATTGTCAAGCCAATTAAAACCTTGGCCTCTCTGCTGAGACTGCAGATGGAAATCTCACAGTGAGTGTGTCCAGTCTGAATAAGGTTAACACCGGGCATGGCTATAATTTATCAGTTTGGACAAAGCAAGACAGAAAACAGAGAAAGAAGTGTGCTGGTTCAGATCCTTTGGGATCACACCCTTCAACTTACCACGTTTTTTATGATTTCATCCTTCCCGTCCTGCCTCTGCACCTTCAGCAGATGGTAGCAGAAGTCAAAGAGATCAAAGCGCCGTTGCTGCCCAAGGAGAACAATGATAGAGCAACCTGCCCAGTTCAGCCCATCTCCAAAGCACTGCCTGGAAGGAAGACAGGGTGATGGGGTGGGGAAAGATGACAGGATAGAGTTAGGTAAGAGAAAGTCCTACCATTGCACCAGGAACTTTCCTTGGTGAACGCCTAGGGAAATCAGATTCAGTCCTACTCCTAGAATGTGGGTGCACACCTAGAGAAAACAAACTCAAAATGCAGAATTACACCAGGGCCAGGCTGTGCAGGGCGCATCACAGGGTACGATGGATGAGGACCTAGCCTCTGACTTGGGCTGTTGGCCCATTTACCCAAGTCCTTCTTGCTTGTCACCTTGGGCATGTCCCTTTACATTGCTCTTTTCCCCATCTGTTCAGATAGAAAGCTCTCTGGGCACCTCTTTAAGTCCATGCACACCAAAGTCCTTTCACCAAAGACCCACATTTCCCCTCTACCTCTACACTAGCTGAGGCTATCGCTGCAGCTGAGGACATCGCAGGGGCTTGTCGGCCTCGCTGGCCTGTGCATGGCGCTAACAGCAGAGCTGGCCACGGACACTCACTCTGCAGTGAACTCGTTGGTGCCCACGGGGATGCAGTACACAAACTGCATGGCACTCCAGAGCCGGTGAAACTCCACGCACTCGTCCACGTGCATCACTCCGTTTGTCGGGGGTGGCCCGCGCCAGATGGGGTCCTGCAGGTAGCTCCTAATTCGCGTCAGGATCACCTCGAACATGGACAGCCCACAGCATAACCGCTCCTTCGTCAGCAAGTCACCCTCCCGGGCAATGGCTATTTGCTGAGGAGGAGGACAACCAAAGAAACAGAAATGACAACGTAATACAGATGGACCCTCTTGCTGGACTTAACGCTTCCCGGTCTCCCCAGCTCCTTCAGAGTTAACACAGATCCCGTGTGAGATTCAATCTTACCTCTGATGGCTGTTCCCATGGCACTCCCCACCAGAGAATACTCATCCCGCAAATGGACGAAGACTTAATATTGCGCTCCATTATATTTCAACAACCTAAGTGTCTTTTGAAATAACTATGTACGTCAGAAGACAAAAGATGAAGGCAAAGCTCTGATCAGAAATACTGATCCTTAATGCTGCTAGCACGCTGTCCTGTTACATTAGTGCTACTCAGCGTTGCTGGGTTTAATTTCATGATTTCTGCAGATTATGAAAATAAAACAGGAGAGAACAGGGACATTTTGTTTCCAAGGATATCGTCATCATCTCTTTAAAGTGTAAATAGTCTATGGCTTGCTTTATTTCTTTTGTAGATAGGGTTAAAAAGCTCTGAGGAAGATGAGAAGCCACCAGAACCTTAATACTGGAAAACCTGTGGTTTATAAGAAAGTCAAATAATATTTTGTTCCAGATGTGGAAGGTTTACATGTGTGGAGAACTTCTGTGACATCCCCACTCAGATTTACATGGACAAATCCGGAATGGCTCTGTTGGATGGAGTTCATTTGGCTTTTACCTTAAGAGGAAAATGAAAAGAGAACTGACTTTATTTCAACCTTTCAGCCTCATTGCTCCCCCAGGGGAAAAAAAAAGAGGATTTTAGATAAGCAAGCAGGGCCTCCCCCACCACGGGAGCACTGAGCTCACTGTGTGGGGCTGGGGTGCAAGCGTGGAGTTTGCTCGCTGCCCTGATACCCTCTTGGCTGCCCCCGTTCTCACCATTTCCACCAACGTTACTAACTTCTCTTTGCAGTGCTGCCAAAATGAAGACGGGAAATGGGAGCCGAGTGCTGTAAGAGCCGTGCCCATGGCTGTGGGAGGCTGCGGCTCTGCCGTGCTTACCCCAGTAGGCCCTGCAGCACCCTGGCCCCACAGGCAGAGCCTTTCACCCCTCTCACCACTTTGGCAGAGGTTTGCAGAGCAAGTGTGACATTTACCAACCCCCTGTCTATCCCAGGGGACTTCCTGGGGCTTTAAGTAGTTTTTAAGCAGTTGCTTCATTTCCAGCTGTCCCTGTAATGCCTGTAAAAACATCACCCCAGTCAGAATCACTGTGGAGGCTCAGAGCATCTGGTACAATGGGCAGGCACGTGCCCTGGCCAGACATAAAGAATATGAATTATGCTCAGTTTACTTGGTTCGTCTTTATTCCACTCTAAAAGAACATGAATGTGCCTGCACATCCCCTTTCCTGACTGTCAGTTTACGCTGGCAGTAACCTAAATCATTTTTAGTCTGGTGGCTATTGAAGGGTAATAATTCCTCTTTGTGCCACAATTTCAAGGACATTCTGTGAACCTTGGATCAATTAATGTTCAACTAATAGCAAATGTCAAGGGAAAGCCGTATTGCTGAGTAGAAGCCAGATTAGGTCTGGGATCCCTAGATCTGTTAAACACAGGAATATCACCAGTTTCATGGCCTGTATGTGCATATGTTTGCTTAGCAAGTAAAGATTAATTTTATCCATCTTGTTTTTATAGCTAAAGGCTGTACACTTTCTCTCTCCTTACCTGCTCCAAGCTCTTATAGGTACAGATTAGCACTTGCACACACTTGTCTACGATGGCAAAATGGGGACACAGTAGAAGTAAAGCCATTTCAAAAATAAATTAGGTGTTAGCATTACTGTTTGCTAAGATACAGTGATAGAACAGGCACTTTTAGTAACAAACTAGTCCAATGATCTTCTTATACTGTTTCTGAAGAAATCTTAATCTAGAAAGGGATGTATCTGGCTTTCAGACGATGCAGTGGCACTCAGTTATGCACATTCACAGACAGAATTTGGTTCTAAAATTCATCACCATTAGACCAGTCTTTGATACAGGACTGCTACCGTTGGGTAGATGTCTAACACAGTGAAGGCAGCTGGAGAGGTCTTAGTCTTGTGGCCAGAACTGCCTCACAGTCTGAGGTGCCACTGATTTCTAACACTGGGAGAGAAAGGGTGCTCTTGAGATAAATGGTCAAAGGATGCCACTGTGCTGGCTCCACTATTCCCTCTGCCTTCAAAAAGAAAGGCTCCCATTACTTCTAGTGAAAAAATCAGACTGACCAAACACTTCTGAAAATCCCTGATCAACATTAAAAAGGAGAGGATTCCTTTAATGAACCACTTTGACCGTCTTGGTTCTTTATGAACCACCTATCAAACCACTGCTTCTGGATTCCTAATGCAAAGCAATTATTTACAACAATCACCAAGAGTTAGTTCTCCTGCCATTGCACAAATCCAGTTGTGCCATACCTCTTTTATAGCTCATGAACTGGAAAGCTTGCAAGAACCATACCCAAAGCCTGATAGATCCCCACTAACTACAGCAGCCTCTGGCTGAGCCCTTTCACAGCATGTACTTATATGAAATGCATAGGGCCACCTTGTGGGGGAGGCATCTAGCAGGCAACTTCTGCTCAGGTTCTGGGCTATTGCTGAAAGGCAGGAAAAATTCCTGTATAGTCTGTGTCCAAAACTGCATTTCCAAAATGCATGTTCAAATCTGCGTAAGGAGCAAGCTTAGAAGCTATGGAGGCACCTATAGAAAGTGACTCGTGTTCATTTACATCTGAGCTCAAAAAAGATCTGGTACTCAACTGTACCTGTGTGATGAATATGGAAACAGTTTACAGAAAAATTAATTTTTAGCGGGACATGAAATACCTTTTGTTTTCATCACCATCATAACTAAGGCAGGGATAAGCAACGAGTGGACTCTAATAGCAGATTTCAATGATGATTTTGCATGGAAAGGAAGAGAGATAGAGAGACCAACACAAAGACACAAAAACACAGAGGTGAATTCTTTTTCTCGAGTGTCTCCTTTAAAAGGAAGTCAATGGGAAGTGAGAGAAGTGTCTACAAAGTAAGACAAAGCCAATTTCTTCGTTTTATATGATTTCCAATGAAGCAAAGTTCAAAATGTCCTTGATCCATCAGGAAAATAAAAAAATCAACAACTTTCTGCCTGCCGTAGATCTGTCACCTCATACAACTGAGTGTTCATTCCTCAGCAGTGCATTACAGAAAAAGGGTGTTGATTCATTTAATACTTTGAATTATTTTTATCCCATCAACCGCACTAAGCAGGCAGTGGAAATTTGGCTATTGATATCAATGGAGCTCAAATTTTGCCGATTACAGTGATCAGTCTATGGAGATATTTTTAACAGTACCCAATTTCTGCACAAGAGGTCTTTTTCATGCTGAGACCCACCTCAAGAAAACGCTTAAATGGAGCCGTAATTTTAAGCATGTGCTGAAGCTCTAAGCATGGGCCAGGAGGGGAACCATTCTCCAATGTGTTCCTTGACAGGGATGAGCTTAAAAATGGACCACACTGCAGCCCTAAATGGGAACCCCAAAAGTGATGGCAATTGATTAAGCCAGGGACAGCCCTGCAAAGTTTCCCCTCAAACCACTCCAGCAATTCTCCATCTTTTTAAAATGGAGAAGAGTTTTTCCGAGTTGTTCTTATGCAGAGCTGGCTTCTAGCATGCTTGCCTTACAGCTCCCTGCCAGCTCTCCAGACTGGAGGCAGCAAAACACCATCTCTGGACCCGCTCACAGATTTCCCTTCGAAGTGTCTGCTAGGGCAAGGATTTGGATTTTCTTGTCCGATTCATGATTTGAAAAAGAAAAAGGAAAAAAAAAAAAAAAGAGGTTCACTTTCCCAAACAGGCCATCTGGGGACTGCTATGAATTTTCAACAGCCATCCCTTTCAATGAAGTCCTTACCTGCGGAGTGCCCAGCCTCTCTATTAAGGGAACCAGGTGAAGTGGGGCATACTTGGCTTCGAGACGCTTCATGCGCACCTCCAAGCGTTCTCCTTCTGTCAAGCGAGCAGCAAACAGTGAAATGAGAGGAGGAAGTGGAGACCCGCAATTTCCGCCGAGCTTGCTCAGAGCTGCCCCCCAGCAACCATCCAACGAGACTTTGGACCAGAGAGCCAAACCGACAGCAAATGAGGGAACCAGTGATGCAGAGAAGGGAGGGATGTGCGATCGCAGTCTCAGCAGCAGCTTTATCACACATGTCCAAAAGCATGTCCCTGTTACTGTTCACTCCTGTTGAGATGGACATTTCATGCTGTCATTCTCCAAAGAGGCTGCAGAATGGCTTTAAAACCTTAAGGGAACCCCCAGATTGACTAAGGTTTCAGTCTGTAACTAGGCTACAGAAAATGCACCCTTGGCATTTGTTTCTACCTGACTTTTGGCTGTATCCACTTATCTATTACGAGGGGGAAGGAAGGCCAGAACTAATCCTCAGCAGAAATGGGAGAGAAACAGCTTCTGGGCAGAGACCTCTGAGTCTGCCCACTGCTTCTCTCACAGCTTCTTACCTTTGATGTAGACCCTGGGCAAAATATTTTGGAAGGGAGCAGCATGCAGCAAATCACAAACTTCTTCCTGGGACTGAGGCAGGAAGAAAGAAAGATAAAGTAAGTTAAAAAATACCTATAGGGGTTGAGTGTGTGGCTCAGGGACCTGGGCAACACTGCAACAATTCATGTCTACGGCACCTATTCAAATCCAACCCAACTCAGCAGTAACTCCAACGGTTTGAATCTAAATGAACTAAAACTGAAAGAAATACCTCTCAACTTAAGCCAGGAAGTTTTCGTAACTCAAATAAGTTACTTCCTGCCTGTATAAAGCCAGAGCTTTATATTTATTTTCTGTCTCGCTTACTAACACTGCAAGTAAGAGGGGATAACGAACATGGAGGTTTCAGTTTCATCTTACCCTGATGACTTCCTGCTGTTTATTTTTATAGTGAGCGCCCAGGTGGAAATGACCCTTTGGCTTAGTGACTTTAGGATGTGTACATGTAAAATATACTGATGCATGGCTTTACTGCAAATAGGTACATAATATGTTGATCCGAAATTATCTGGTGTTCTCAGCCGGTGCTATCAGACCAGAATCCCAGTGGTGTAGGCACCAGGGAGAATAATGTATAAGTCCAGAGAGGAATAACATCATGAGATGCCACCTGAGAGAATGCATGCCAATGCACTTGAGAAAAAATAATCCCAAACACAGATGCACAAGGAGGAGAAACCTAGAAATAGGCAGGTGGAGACTGAGGAGCGATGGCTGACAATACATTGTATACGAGTCTGCAATGGGAAACAGCAGCAAGGAAACCAAAGCTGTTTAACACAGAGGCATTGCGTCACAACAAGGCAATAGTCTGCTCCTACAAAAGTCTGGTTCTAGGACATGCTTTCAGTTCTGAGCTTATGGTAGAGATTTAGACACACTTGAAAGCAGGCCATGACAGCACAGCAAAAGATACTTGGGCCAGATGGAATGACTCAGCTGAGCCTGTTTGGGATACACAGGTGGACACCCCACCTTCCAGCCAAGGGGGAGTGGACGGTGTAGCATGGAGCTGCAGAAGGCTGTACTGGCGCATGGATGCTGGGATGAGAGCGAGTCTGTGGGAGTGCAGTTTGTGACACAGTGCTGGAGAGACAGGAACAGCCTGGGGTCCCTCCATGCGTAGGGGGATGCTGATGCTGCTGGTGTGTGCCTATCACCTTGGTTATTTTGTTTGCAAAACACTCTTTGTTCAGAGATGCATGTTCTTTCACTGCTGGTTCCCTCTGATAAAGAGTATTTTCACCATCTGCAGCCTGCATTCACCTGATACCAGTCCCCAAATTAGTCATGTTATTAATAGATCTCCTCCCCAAGGCCCATTACCTGTAAGAATTCTGTTTAGAAATTTAGTCCCAAACAACCCCTCATTCCTCAAGTTTAAGCAGTAAAAAAGGGGTAGAATAGAGCAGACTGTGCATCTTCCCTAGAGCAGTCTCTGCCAGCAAATACCACCAGCCTTCAATCCTTATAACAGCTTCGAAGATAATTGCACCGTAAAAGCAATTGTTCCTGCTGCATAAGAGCTCCATTAGAGGGAAAATCTTGTTACATGATGGCTCTACACATCTGACATCTTCCAATGAGTGAGAACCAGTGCCCGCTGTGTGCAAAATGGCTTTATATTCCAAAGCTATCTCGGTGTGGAAAAACTGGGGATCAGAGAGGGAGAGACTTTGGCTGGCACAGAAAGGGGGCAGATGTGGACTTTAACAGGCAGCCTTCCTAAAGCAACCCCCAAATTCTCACCGTCTTATTTTCTGCTATTCTAAAATGCCAGTACACTGCTGGTGTACATCTCCTGAGACTGGAGGATGTTTTTGCATTGAAATGAAGGATTTCTAAAAGTACCCATTTAAAGATGGGATGGAAAAGTCAAATGCAGTACATCTAGCATAAAATCCAACACCGAGAACAGCAGAAAGCAGCGATGAAGTCACAAAAAGAACAGAAACTGCCAGGATACAGTTGGCAGCTCTGGTCAATCTATTAACGCCAAGCTGCTAGGTGATACACATCTCTAGTTTTCTTAATCTTATGCAACTACTGCTCATTGAATGTGTCTGATACATCATATAAAGAACTAAGTGTCTAGATCTGGGGTTAAAATGCAAAGGCCAGAGTACAAATATCCATTTTGAGGACATGCAGAGATTATCAGTTTTCCTTGTGCTCTATGGTGGATGAAACTTGGAATCTTTAAATTTTCTTCTGGTTTCGCTCTGAACAAAACTTTCTGGCTCTGCTTGGAAATCCCATCTTATGCTCAGGAAGTCTTTCTGAAATATTTCTGGAAAAACTGAAACAACCCTGCCAAAACCTGCCCCTTTAGGACACAAAATATGCATTTTAAATGTAAAATTGTGTTGTTGAACACTCCTCAGTTGGCTCCAGGCCAAACTGTGAGATAAATTCATTATAAAGTTATTGTGTGAAAACTAGCAGGTAAGATGTGTGGCACTCAGCCATAGCCTTTGCCCCGTACCAGAAAGGGCATCACATCAGCTGAGAGGCTGAGACTTGTGCACGTGCAAAAGAGTTGTGCAGGGAGCAATACCAAGTCATCACTCCAGCTAAATTTTCAGTGAAGATAAGTCATAGGAAATATATCATCAGCTCCTCTGAGATTGCCTTCCTGTTGGATTGCTTTATCCTTATCACCATGAGAATCAATCAGGTTTTTACATTGCACTGGCACCCCAAAAGAGCAGAGGGCTCAAATCTACTTCTCACTGTACAGATACGTATATTAAAAAGTATTGATTCCTGCCCCAAAGAGCTTACAATTTAGAAATAAGCTCCAGTTGGTTTTATTTCTGATAAGGATGAACATGGGGCACCTTTGGGTCCAAGAACGAAATCTAGATCTTCCAGTATTCAGATTCTCCTTCAGCAATCCCAGATGTCAGTGACCAAGCGCCCATGCACACCATCCCCATGGCCATGCCCACAGACCCCAATAACACAGCCCCAGAGAGACCCTGAGCACACGAGAAGCTGGAAAGTAACATTTCCCAAACTCTTCTGCTGGAGAACCCACTTCCACTTATACTCTTGAGCTGGCAATTTCAAGTACGATCTGTTGGCGCAGGGGGTTTTGCCTTACCAAAGCCTGCTCGATAAGGAGGCAGAACAGAATGGCATTGCCCACTTCTCTGAGACTCTGGAACACGTCAGTCTTCAGCTCTGCGTACTCAATGATGTCCTTCAGCTGGTGGTGGAAAAACTCCAGGATTCCTTAAAAAACAAGGAAGGACAGTCAGTAAAGTGAGAGAAGAATCACCCTCTGATAGCTTGGATAAAAAGACAACCAGTACTGATATTTCCTTAATTACAAATTGCAAGCTGTAACTGCTAAATGGATAGATGGAGACTGGCATCAGGGAGAACCAGTACACAGTGTCTTACCCTGCTTTCAGTAACCCTTGGGAAATAGGGAGTAATTCACATGAAGTCCTTGGATTTCCTCATCAGAGAAAAAAAACAGATTCAAGACTGTAACAGAGGTCTTGGTGCTGGCTCATGTGTACCAGACAGTTTCCCTGTCCAGCTCAATGGCAGACTGATGCAAAAAGTCTTTGCATCAACTAAGCAGAACTTTGAAAAATATCAGTGAACCCACAATAACAAAAGCTTACAAAATCCTGAAAACAAAATAGAAGCTACATTCACCAGTCATCTGTGTGTTCAAAGGGAAATTTCCAACAGGAGATTTCCTGGAAAAGTTTCCTACACGTGTTCCAGTGTCAATAGCAAAGCAGCTGAACGTGGGGCCCAGCAAGCCTGGCTGCATGTTGCACTGGCTTGTCGGGAGCCAACCTTGTTTAATTACTAGTGTGTGCCTGAGCAAATGCTGTACCAACATGTGGGCGAGCTCTTGCTCAAGCATCTATCTGTAGCACCCACCTGGAGAGCCGTATTCATGTCTTGGCAAGCGGCATATCTTGGGCATTACTTCGATCAGAGTCTTCACGTACTGCAGGATGGTGCCCTGTAGCTGTTGGAGACAAAAGGAGGTTAAACTGGAATGATGGCTTCTCCTGGCGTTGGTTTTGAAAGATGCTGGTTGTGGATGGGTCCACATCTGACAGCACAGCATGAAACTTCAGCTGGAGTCCAAGAATAACTTGCTTAATTTGGGTTTTACTCAAATATAGAATTCAGCCCAAGTATATGGAGTTAAGAGTGCTTTTACAGCTTCCTCCCAAATAATAAACCACAGCTGCATGGATTTTCAACTTCAAAATACAGCTTGCTGTATTGCAATGTGTTTGCATTGTTTGCAGCTGAAATCCAAACAAGGCTCAGTCTTAGATCCAGCTGGGCTTGTGCTCCTAACCTAAAAAGCATTTCACCAGAGCCGCTATAGGAGTTATTCCCCAGCACAGGAAATGCTCCTTCCACCTGAGGAATGATCACCAGATATTCAGAATTTAAAAAGGGAATTTACATGCATGCAGACCAAGCTTCTGCAGATCTGATGTTTTGAACTAATATGGACAAGAGAGAAGTGTATTTCTTAGTATATACTTAGTCCATATAAAAGCGCTTCCTGTCATTTGGAGTTACACACCTGCATCCTGTAGATATTATATGGGATTATGCACTAAATGCTATTTAGCTAAACATAAAATCTTTGTGCTGTTAGTGCCCTTAGGGCAGATGGGATCATTTCCCTGCAGACATCACATTTCTCTTCTGAAAAAGAAGAGAACTAGAAAGCAGATAGTGTTATTGCCAGCCTGGCTTCAGAATATCTGATGGAAATGGGCAGTATGGCTTGAATAAGGACTCACCTATCACATGAATTTTCTTATAAAGACTCAAAATGTTGGTTTCATCAGTTTTGCTGCCTGCTCTCTACCTTCCTGCAGCTCTCCAGGGCTATCACAAGGCTCCAAGACCGAGTGCTCTTGTGCTATTGCTGAGCAAGGGCATGTCTTGAAGGTCTCCCAGACTGCAGCACAGGCAGTGCTGAGGGGCTGTGGGTGCCATGTCCCACCCCATTGCTTCCTAGTGGCTGTTAGCAAAGCATCAACTCCAACACCCCCAGATGTAGGTGGCTGATCACAGTAAACTCTTCAGGATGGTGGAAACACTCCATCATCCCACAGGAATCAGTGGGATTCCTCACCAACAGTGAAAATCAGACTGTTAATACAAGTGTTTCAGTGTGGACCAAGGGACATGAAGGTGTCCAGATGTGAACACCCTGAACCCAAAGCCCAGGCTCACTCTCAGGCCTGCACCTCTCAAGGCATTGAAGTTTCTCCATTGCCAGGGTTAGGCTGAGAATTACCAGGCTCTTGACAATCTTCAACAGCTCTTCCATGACCACTGCGATGCCTTGATAGCCGAGAAGCCTGCAGATCGTCTTGAAATGAGGTGGCCCCACAAAATTGCGGTAGGAGCTATAGATGTGACTGTAGGCAATGTTGAGAGGCTGAGAAAATAGAAGCACAAAGACAGACAGGAACATTTACCAGACCTGTACGTAATTCTCATACCACAGTATTAGGTTCCATCACTTCAAATAATTTTTAAGGAAGAGAAGGAGAAATAATAATACCCACGACAATTCCCATTTCTTCTACTTCTTGTGGCAGAGATTGCTTTTCTTCCTACATAGTCAGATATATCATAATCTCAACACACTGTCACGTCACAGGGCTTATTACCCTGCTCTGTAGCAACACCAGTTTCATTTCCAAGGTAATTTACTCTTCCAGTCAAGGATTTCAGTTCAGTGGCCTTTTGCCTCTTCAAACCCAAATTTTTCTCTACTAAAATGAAAAGCTTTATATATAGGTAACCAGAGTTATTTTTTTCCTAGGGGCACTTGCTTTAACTGAGGCTTATTAAGAAAAGTAGGAACTGCAGCATCTGACCTTAAGGGCAGTTGGTAGAGACACAGAAAAGATCCTTTTTGCATTCTGCAAAGCTCTCCATCAGCCTCTGCACTTTACAGACATCCCCACGGGTCTGTGAAAAGGGCAAGAATTTAACCCTGGTCTAGGAAGAATAGTACCCAGGGCTCTGACCTCCAAAAAAATTTAGCAGAAAACAGAAAGTGATTTCCAGGAATGTACCCTATCAGTGTAATCTTGGAAATGTGGAAATTGCTGCAATGTTTTATCACTGGAACATTTATGGGATCCATTTGGTGTGAGAGAAACAGAAGTAGGGGGAATTAATTCACTTGTGTGATCTGCAAAAAAACCCACTGAAAATCAGATTTAGTCAAGACACCACATGCTCGGCTCGGGCTCTGCAATAGAAGTGTTGGCATCGTGATTCAGCCCAGCAGAGAAGGGCTGCAGTCTCTCCCCATGACATCTATAACTGCAGCCTCAGGAAACAGCAAAAAAGCCCATTCTTGGAAAGATTCTGGCAGGTAGTGCCCTGCCAGCAAAACACTGATAAATACTTGACCCATACCTACCAAAAGATCTTTCTTTAACAAGGATAAGACAACAAATTAACCTGTATCCCAAATGCACTGTGCAAGGCTGGCTTTGCTTCTTGTGTGAACGCTGCACAGAAGCATGGAGCATCCTCACTTAGCGGGGAGCTCCCTTCCCTGCAGGTACCGTAGACCCTGCTCCATGGAGATTCCCTTCCTGCCAAGAACGGATCCAAGGGAGCCGAGGGACACACGCCCTGAAGAGCTTGGGGTGAAAGGGAGCAAGTAGCAGACCAGGACAAAATGTTGTCTGTCCTCCAACACTGCTGCACCCGGCAATTGCAGTACAGCCGGCTGAAGGCTTGGGTTGTCCTCCAGTTCTGACTCACTGCCTCGAGATTAACACTTCATTCGAGTTACTAATGAGTTACAAAGTGAAGCTAAGAACTGGAGAAGTATTTTCTTTTGCTCTCAGACATAGAATTTCAGTGGACTGATGTACTGATTGCATTTTCATAGACTTGTCAGTTGGTTTAATCAATTAATTAATTGTCCCTCACTGTGTTACAGTCCCACTGCTCTGGTCCAGTATCTTATTGCCTACTACAATTCCTAGGTGCTCTTTGAAAGAGCTAGCAGACAGAAGACACAGTCTCCTACTTTCTGTGAACTGTAATTCCACCTCCTGGTCCTGGTAGTTGAAAAAAACCCTTTAACACCATTATGTACAGAGAGGCTACTCTGGAGGTTCAATAGTGCAGTCATACAGCGAGCATGAACCTTCTCACCTATCAAAACTAAACTCAAGGGCCTGAGTTAGTACAGGATGGAGCTGAAAAATTATTTAGGCAGACAGAAGCCTACTTTCAAAGCTTCTTGAATGCCAACTCCTATTCAGAGAATGATGTTTGAGCATCCTGCTGTGGCTTCTATCTGCATCCTTAGACAACCAGTCTTTAAAATTTTATTTGGAAGAGACTGATCCAAAGGTACTACATATGCACACTGATACATGTGAAAAATGGCAATAGGTTATAGTTTGAAAAGTGCATCTGCTTAAACACCAAGCAACGTCCAGCCTGGAACATTTGCCAAGTGGCCAACAGGATCACCCCAGGGCAAGCCACACACCTGCTGGAGCTCCAGCCCCACCATGGTCCCAATGTGTTTTGTTGCTGTGGCTTTTGCAATCAGTCATTCTAGCCATGGGCATTCCCAGAAAGCGTCGTGCTGCAGGGGAGATACAGGTGGCCCTGAGATGCCTCATTGCACCTTCCTTCCCTGCCTCCTCTGTTACGTCCCCACAGTTAGCACACCGGTGGCTTGTGAGGACGGGGGGGGGAACTAAATATCCCCATTTCAGTGGGCTCATGAATCCACACTCATTTCTGCAAGCCTCTTTGCTACTCCATGGCTAGGAGACAGGTCTTCTGTCTACACACATGCCATGGTCCCCTGAGATAAGTTACCACTGGTAGCCAGTTGTTGAGCAACAGGTCAGATTTTCCCCATACTGAGGCTGACATTTGCTGTATAGGTAGCAAGCGGCTGCTGCTGCCATGCAGCTGCCAACCTCGCAGCACTCCCTCGCCTCTCAGTGGGATAACGGGGCTGGAGAGCAGCTTTCAAGTGAGCTCGTCCCTCAAGTGGAGGTCTCTGCAGTAGTTCAGACTGGGAGAAGACACATTTTAGGATGTGCATTGCCTGCAGACGAGCAGGATGATTCATCCCCGCCTGTCTGAAAGATGAAGTAGATTCATCAAGCTCTCCACAGAGCCACACAGCGCATTAGCATCAGGCTTGCATCTAATAATAATACTCTGCCAGCAATTAAAAATGTAACTCCATTTAAGGGTGAGATACACAGCTTGGGGTAAAGACTGTAGGATGTAAAAACTGACACCAGTGGGTATTTTAAGAGAAAACAGCTGAAGGTACAAGCTGGCTGCACGGCACAGCCTGCTCCCCCGTGCTGGGTGGCTGCTTCTACCCCCGCAGAGAGCCAGACCAAAGCCCTCAGTCTCACCACCTCTTGGCACTGCGGAGTTTTGTCCCACCTTTGGTTTGGGGCTAAATGGGCAGGTGCTGGGGCCAGGAGGCCAGGAGTGTAGGCAGGCTGAGGGTTGCAATGTGGGGCAGAGCTCCTGGTGTCCTGCAGAGCCCAAGCGCCCTGTCCTGCACTCAGGTCTCAGGGACAGCCATCCGTACTTGGGAGCATGTGGGGAAGACACTCACATTGCTCTGGAGGCTCAGGAGGTTACTAGAGATGCTCTGGAGCAGATTCAACAGCAAATGCAGCAAAACAAAACCTACTTGTCATTTCCATTCTTTGAGCTTGTTGTTGGCCATCACCCAGACCTGTCTGAGCTCACCTGAGGGAAGGCAAGGAGAGTTTCATCTGATAAAATTGATCAGAGAGAGACATCATAGACAGATAATACTGCAGTGTCAGAGCCTCCTTGGAAAAATGAAGAGCTAACAAAGGAGGACTATACCTAGACACAAAAAAGGACTTGCAGACAGCCCCAGACTAGTCCAGGCTCCCAGCCAACCTCACTTCAGTGTCACAGCTGAGATGATGCCTCAGAAGGTGAAAAACAATTCTGACCAGAGTTGTCAGAGGAGGGTCTCTGAGTCAAACAGCCTGAATATGCCCTGGTTCCTTCCCCTGCCACAAGCAACCTTCACTCTCCCTATAATGCTGTTACCATATTCAGCTGTATCAGCCAGTTGCTAAGACTTTCCTGTAAAAAAACCCATATTCCCTAGCTGGGATGGTCAGGACACATACAGTGCAGCAGGTGTGTTTATATACTGTATTGAGACTGTGTCTGTGTATATTCTGTGTCTCAACATAATGCCTCACTATACCAACTACTAATTTTCAGGGACTATATATATACACTGCTGTTATTCACAGCAAGCCAATGGCTGTGGCAGACCAGGTAGCACAGCCCACGGGGTCGGCTGGAGGGGATCAGCAGCCCCCGCTGCCAACACCTCCTGTTGCTACCACAGCTCCTTAACGCCTTTGTGCTGTTGCTGCAGACAGAAATAGAGCGGCTCCATCCCATTCACACGCTGTAACTATATTTACAAGCGCTGGCAGCATGCACTGTCCTTCAGGTTACATCTCCCTGCATGCTCGCTAAAAAAGGGGGGGGAACAAATTCAACCAGGGAAAGGGAAATAGCGATTTCCAGTGAGTCTGGCGTGACCCTGGGTCCAGCAGTGCCAAGAAAAACAGAAGCACTCATGAAAATACATAAATGAAGCCCAATTTAAAGCACTTAAAGAGCTAAGAAGTGGTTAATGAGCAGTACCAGCAGTTGCTGGTAATTTTGCAGCTCCTTTGTCAGAGACTTGGCAACCTGCTGTGTTTTATAAGCTGCTGAATGACAGAAAATGGCTCAATTTCTGCTGGCCACTGGAGAGCGCCCAGTGAGGGGTCCCACAGCCGGGTCCACCTGCAGCTATGGGGAACACCAGTGCTGGAGCAGTCCTGGCACTGGCATGGTTTTGGCGTCTTCTCTTCCTGGGAAATGAGAATTTAAAGCTCATCACCAGCATAATGTGGTGCAAGCCTAATTTTGGGAGCAGGAAATACCAACACCACTGAAAGCTTTGCTGCGGTTTCCTTTGAGCGTGCAGTACTGATCACAGCACGGAGAAAGGTGAGCAGGACCCCTTGCTAGCCTAATCCAGCTATTCACATTTTCCTTGGTTTCCTCTCTTCCTGTTAACACGTTATTTGTGAACAACTGAAATTTAATTTTGAATCAACTGTGAACACTGATAAACTCAACAACCCACACACAGTAAGAATGCAGTTGTCTCATGAAAATGTTACCACCTTGTGTAATACACCTTTCCGGAGCACAGATTTGCATCCTTAGCTCTGTCCCTGCAGGCAAGGATGTACTTCACTCACAGCACGGGAGCAGCTCAGAGCTCTTTATCCCCCTGCTCTTGAAAACAGGACTGAGCCATGTAAATGGCAGGAAGCCACCTGGGAGCACTTTAATTTCCATCCCTGCCCATAACTGTCATCTCTGCTCCCTGTTTTCAGCTCGCTGGCAGCCGCAGCTCACTCACAGAGACAGAAGGGAGTACAGATCTTGGAAGACAAAACCAAAACACCCAGAACTGCAAAACATAAATCAATGCAAGGATCCCACATACTCCCCAGCCTTGTGATAGCCCCTCCTGATGAAGTTTACATCATCTCATCGCTGCTGGTATTTAGAAGATCCTTGAAACGTTGCAAGCACCTTTCCAGGAGTGACATGGAATGAGGAACTCCAGACCCAGAACCAATATTTCTGCTGGGAAAGTTCATCTTGAACACATTTTGGCTTCAGAGAGCAGTGAGTCACTTGTTCAGAGCCTCTCCTTACCAGTGCCACGTCCGTCCCCTCCTGGCCACAGACTTGGGCTGCTCCCCCAGAGATCACCAGCCCTGGCTTTGCCTCTCCCTCCTGCTCTCCCACCAGACTGCAAGGGGACACCCCTGGGTTGTCTATAAGGCAGGGGCACTCAAAGAAGAGCCTGGCTTAACCCCACAGAAGTTCAGTAGGAGGCTGAGGTCTTTGAAAACCCAGGTCCTACTGCCATCACACAGTTTAGAAAATATTAGAAAGCTAAAGGACATTGCTGCAGCATGAGGGATGAAAATCTACAGCTCAGCGGCTTTGGCTTAGATCAGTAGTTTAAATGTGCAAGAAATCACAGAATTAAAGACAAAGCCCCCAAGTGCTAGACTATTAATGTGTACCGCAGGCCAGGATCCTGGATTTCGTACCATGTGCCAATGTGTCTCTATCCCCAGACCCTGCTGGGGGACTGTGGACAGGGGAAAAAAAGAAAACCCCAACCAACCCAAACAAGCCAGCAAACAAAACTACCTGGCTTGTTTTTTCCATCTGAGTCACATACTTCTTCCAGGCAAAAGCTTTTAGGGATAACATCCCCAAATCACTCAAAGATGCCTGCCCATCGTTTCCTATTGGTTGCTATGGTGAGAGATGACGGAGCCCCAGCCGGGTATAATATGAGACAGCGCGGGGAAGGGATTTAGCAGAGGCAGGAGGGAGGCAAGCGGTGGGAAGAGGGGAAGGCGCTGCTCGCCCGTGGCCACGCTGCTCACCAACGGGCCACCACGGACCTGCCCGGGGAGGTAAGCACTGCCTGCGGCTCTGGGGGGGCTCAGCGATGGGTGCATGTGTTCTGCTCCTCTTGTAAGAATGGTTTAAACGGTCGTTAAGAGGAGCTGCTGCTTGAGAGAATCAAAGGAAAGTTAGTTACATTAGAAGAGAGAGTAAGAAAGAAAAAGAGAAGCCAGGTCTATCTATGCAGCTTCTGCTTAGAGCACTTGGCTGGTTGGGAGAGATAACCCTACAGTGAGGCTCAGAGAGCACTTTGGGGGTCTGAAGGAGTGATGTCCTGAAGTGGTTGGTGGCTGTTGCTGAACAGCAGTTTGTTAGCAGTCAGTGTCTTTTATCTGGAGGAGCGCTTTGTACTTATTATTCATGTATTTGTACTTCCCTAAAGGCAGTGACTTTTTATCTCACTGATACTACAGTGTGAGATGCTATAGGAACAGAAAGAGTTTATGCTATATTAAGCAACAAGTTAGATACAGAAAATGCAGCAACAGCTTAAACCAGTAAATCCATCATTATACAGCTTTTAAAATAGCATTTAAAAAAACTGTGTGAAATCAAAATATCTATTGGAAGCTCTGCAAGGCAAGCTGGAGCTAGCTTAATGATCGGTTTATGTTCATCACACTTGCAGTATCTTTTCTATTCCAAGGGAAACAAAAAAAGCTAAAAAAGCTTCCTTAAAGACAACCAGTCAAAAAGAAAAGATAAAAAAAAAAAATCTAAACTAGAGCATAGAGTGCACCTTATGCCCCAGTTGGGTTTTTTGGCCATGAAGCAGGGTGATACAGTAGTCTGGGCACCAGTAGGATTAATCTTCTGTAATTTTAGCCATCTAAGACCTAGCATCTAATCTAAGCTAGCCAGGCATAGTCCCGAGTCCAATCTAAGAGCCAGTATAGCCAGGGAAAAGACTTCACTGATGTCAGTGTCACAAATCAGGAAACTCAGCATCTCCTTGCATCTAGTTACAGGGGCACAATGAACATCCAAGTGCACAACATCACTTACACCAGTGCCACTGTCTCCTGGGCCATGAGCAACCCCTGTCCGGAGAACTACTACCATGTCATGTACCGCCCCAACTGGAACAGCGTCTTCGCTGGCTATTTACGCCAAAACTTCCACCGTGAGGAGCGAGTTCCTCACCCCCTCAGCTCCCTCGTCCTCCATCGACTGACACCGTCCACCATCTACGTCCTCTGCATCACGTGCAAGAACTCTTACCCCTCCAGCAACCACTGCACCACGTTCCACACTCTGGACAAAACCCCCCTGGTTTTCGGCAGCTCTAAGCATGAACCAACCACCTCCATGTGGATGGTGAGCAGCCTGCTGCTCCTCTGCTTCATTGCTCTCCTGGCCTACGGCTGCCTGCGGTTCTGGTCCGCACGGTGCCACCAGGCTGCGAGGCTGAAGCATCCCGACGCCAGCTCCGAAGAAGTGGGCGAAGGCAGCAGCTCGCCAGAGGGTCCACTGAACGAAGGACTGAGAGAGGAACTTCTGGAAGTCCCCATGACCACCGTCCTAATGAGGAGCTCCAGTTTCATGAGGGAGAGTCCATACAGCTCTCCTCAATGCTTTTTCTCCTACAAAACCAGTGACGATAAACGGGCCATCTTGCCACAGCATGGCCTCCAATGAGCAAAGTAGAGGGAGACCCTGCTTAGAAGTTTGGTTCGTTCTGCTCTTTCCCAGCTCTTGCCAACAGGACTGTCTGTGTGTCCACAGCGGCTGTTTGTCCCAGGGTAGAACATGAGGTGGGGACATTGGTCACAGGGAGAAAGATTCTTGTCAAGTGACAAAAATATTCTCATTTGCTGAGGGTTTTTGAAAAAGAAACCAAGTCAGCTCTCTGGGAACAGCCAGGCTCAGCTGACTGTAGTGTCGTTAGCTGCTCTGTGTCAGTGCTGTAGGTTCGCTCCACAGTCATTAATCAACGTGCACAAGAAATAAACTCCACTCAAGCAGTTTCACACTTGAGTGATCCTCCATGAGCATCACACCCCAAGCCCTCATAACGCCTGTATAAACAGCCTGACAAAAGAGCTTTTTGTCAGTATTAAGTAGTCTATATTTGCACATAGAAGCATTTTAGTAATTCCCATTCTAAACCACAAATGGGATTCCTGAAGTGGTACCTTCCTTGGGGAGGAGCACTACCCTGGAGCTCCAACTCGTTCTCCTTTCTGCGCATTTAGATGGATGTGACTTGGTCTCAGTGCCAACAGCAAGCACAGAGCAGTGTTAGCATCCCCCAGCATGTTACAGAGAAGAATATGGGAAAATAACAGCAAAAGCAACAGCAAAAGCACACTGAATCTGCTTCTTGCATGGCTTTTTGGTTTCACATGGCAACATGACCCTGCACATTTGCACCCACCATTCTGTTAATGAACTAGTTCTTACATTCCTTTATTCCTAAATAAAAACTTCCAACATCCACCTTTTCTGGCTGTTGTGGCTCATTTACTGACCTTGGATCCGTAGAGGTAATACGGCTGAACGTTGGCTGGCTTGTCCCGCTGGGGTTCCTGCGTGAATGGGATCGCTGTCCTCACAAACCTGTGGTGGGCATGGGAGATGGGGAGGGAAGTGATCAGATTAATTGTTAATCGTGCTGAATGCAGATATGGTACAGTCTGGGACGAACAGCAGCTGCAGACTAATTACCAATTAATTACCCGAGAATGCAAACTCCTGCCCCAATCTATTGGTGGTGCAAAACGTCAGTTTAACCTACCAAAGGTGAGGTGTCTTCTCATTTGGGGCAGGCAAGAAAACCACATATGAGCAGCTACCACAGCTCTGCTGCTCAGTAAACCAGCCCTCTAAACCAAACCAGCCCAGTTGCTTACAATCACCATCTAACTCTGTTGCTCGTATTTATTACTAACATTTTCAAGGCCAGGGGGTGGGCTGTAACTTCATTTTACCTGTAACTGTTAAATCCCATAGGAAATGAAAATATTCACATGCATTGTGGTGAGATTATGTGGCAGGTCTGACATTTTGGAAAGAAAAGCAGGGTCTCCAGGTGCTCCCTGCCGTGCTTTTCCTCCTCACCTGTTGGTGGATCCATTGTAACAGTAGTTGGGTAGAAAGTCAAAGTTGAGCTCCCAGAAGACGTGGAGGGTGATGCGCCCATAGGGCGCGGAGACGTTGTGGTTGGCCTCCCGGAACATGGCATCAAAGCTGTCCAAAGTCATGTGCTTGCACAACAACCTGTGAGTCAGGCGATTTATTTCCAAGAGCCACTCCAGCTCCTGCAGCACAAAAAGCAGTGGCAAATACAACATATTACCAAGATGACAACAGAAACAGCTGATTTAACTGCCAGGGGAATGATTTTATATCCACATCCACACAGAACTTTCCAGGTGAGGATGTAGCAAATGCTGAAGACATCAATTTAACTCAGTGGCCAAGGCCAATTACACTTCTACTCAAGGGAGTCCTGGCCCTGTATCTCCTAAACCTGCAGGAAGCAAAATTATTTTGTTCCCCACTGAGCAGTGGCTGGCTTTCACATCAGAATCCTTCAAAGGTGGAAACTGGTAATTTTACACTACTTGACTTTGATGCTCCTGTAATGTATCAAAGACAGCAAATCGTGTACACGCACAGACAGCATCTCAGCCACCTTCTCCCAACAGAGGGAATTTAAAGGCAAGATTTCCTTCTCACAGGTTACGGGACTTTCTTATACAAGCTCTGCAAAATCTAACTTTTGATAGAAACAGTAGAGACTCAACAGCATAAAGGAGAATGCATGGCTGGCTGAAACCTACTGTAGGTGGGACTTGAGGCAGAAGACAGTTGACTGTGTGTCCATGGCAGTGCTAATGGACTCTGTTCGTACTCGCAGCCAATAACAGTTCTTACCACTATGGATGTCAGGTCCTCGCTCTCAAAGCGGCTAATGGCCTGGTCTAAAGATTTGTACATCGCTGCTGAGATACGCTGGGTGATCAGCCTGTTCAGGTCAATTGATCTACCTAGCAACTGAGAAAAGATATTTGTATGTTATATACAGAGGGAGAAAAAAGATTTTCTTTCTCAACAGACACAAATTAAAATCAAATATCCAAGTCTGCTTAACTGTGAAAGTGGCAATGCAAATGCCTCGGTTGAGTTTACCATTACTTTTAAGAGGTAAGGAGGGAAATGTGGAGTGTAACTCATTTTCCTTTCAGGCTCCATGCCCTCTGAGTGGTGTCAGAAACAGGTTCAACCCTTCTCATTCCAGCACTGACCTCAATTGAGCCCAGCACTAAGATGCAAACCACCAGTGAAAGGATAATAGACCAAGAGCTATGAGTACTGGAGTCTGCTGCTTGCACTGTACCTGGACATGCCTCTGCTTGAGCAGTGTTTCATAGCGGTTGGATGGTGGGTATGGAATGATCACCCCATAGTTCTTACATTCAGCCCGGAAACGTTTGTCCAGTAAGACACTGAAAAAGGGAAGCAGTGTCAGGAAAAAAGAAACATATGCTATTAGCTTTTCTCTGGATCTTTTCCAGAGTTGTTTTCATCCTTCTTTTAATCTTGCTCTGAATGCCAAGAAATTTCCACATGTTAATAACTCTGCTTACAACACTAAATCACAGAGCAGTGGTTGTTATCTGGGGACTGCCATGCTGTGGTCCAACATTCTTGGCTTTTATGGCTAAAACATTCAAAAGGTAAAAGACTGTGCTGAAAGATGCCACTAGTGCCAGACACTGGTGTGCTCCCTCCTTGAAGATCTGCAGTGGGAACAATTGGTTGGTGATAGTGATTGCTGTCCTTCTCTAAGTCTTCAATGTAAGTCTACAAGAAGTTTTGTCTCTAGATTATGTTTGGACTTAGTTCACCTTTGGGGACACGAGAGGAGGAGTCTCAGTAGAGTTCATCTGTGTGCTTTAAATTGTTAGAAGAAAATGTCACAAACAGCCTAACTCCCCACAAGGGAACAAGCAGAAGTCCTACAGCTGAGTACCCTCCTGGCCTTTACAAGTGTTTCTACTTTACTGGGGTTAGGACAAGTGCATGTTCCTGTTTCTTAGAGATGGGAGGCTTCCTCTCCTCATCTGCCTGGTACACAAACAGAAGTCAAGCAAGGCCGTGTCTTCAACAGACTCAGTTTGCTTTTCTGCTGCTCTCACAAATTGTACTCAGACAGTTACTTAGGATGCCAATTATTATTTTTTTACTTTTAACCACGTCTCCTTTCCACCATTAATTCATTTTTTCCACCCACACTGTTCTGACATGGTCAACTAGCTCTGTGGGACAGGGATGATCTATTTTGTTATGTCTACCCATGGTGGCCACTCCCTGAGGGGACCCTTCGGTTAACAGCAATTTGGATGCAGCAGTATCATCGTTCAGCAGCAGCAGTCAAGTTTTCCTACCTGCCAGCCATCGCTTTATAATAGGCAAAGATCTGATCTGCCAGCTTGTACACAAATTGATCAAAGCACAAATTCACCTGGGGGAGAAAAAACCAAGACATCGTGAGAGTGTCACCAACACAGGGCAGCTCCTTCCTACACATGCAAGATCAATACAACTCAATACAGAGCTCTAATTTAATACATACATTTATGTCACACTATCTAAAAACCGCACTGCGGTTCTCACATGCTAAAGTTAAGCAGAAAATTGCAGATACATTTCTCTCTTACAGTTTCTGCATGTTCTTACAGGTCCTGGTCTCCCATCCCCAGTCATCCTTCTCTCTAAGGGATCTCCGGTTTCTCGTTTTCCTCTCATGTCTCAAAACTCTCTGCCCATCAGCCAGCCTCTGCCAAGCCCTCAGTGTCTGAGAGCCTTTGGCTTTCACGTTCCCCATGTGTAGAGCTGAGCCGAAGCCCTTGACAGGCAGTTTGTAAGCTCTCTGGAAATTCTGATATTCTGAAAACTTCTGTCTGGTGGGGTATTTTTTTCAGGAGATGTCAATAATAAATTCACTGAACTGCTGGGTGGGGCTCTCAAACAGGGCAATGTGACTCCAGCGAGCTCTTCCCATGCAATAAAAATGAAGATAACTTACTTCAGCTTCAATTTCATCGTATAGGAACTGCTTTTTGAACTTGGTCAAGGCATAGTATGCGCTGTCATTATAGAGGTCCAAGGGGTACAGTACGTACCTGAGGGCAAGAAGACAGATCATGTCTCAAATTAACCTTGGAGCAGCATAAGCACAAGCCAGTACATGTGACCTACCTGGTGCAAAAACTGGCTTTTCTCTGACATCACCCCTATCACCTCCACTCCTTCCAGCCCCTCAAATCCTCTTTCTTGCTCCCTGTGTCAGACTTGCTAGAACAGATCTGGATTTGAGCTAACTGTGGCTTGTTCAATCAACACTTGCTCCTTCTCTGCCATTAGGAAAGCTTTCATCTTGCCCTCGCTCTGCAGAGTGCCCTGGCAATGGCCGTAAATTTTAGGAAAACCAAAGTTTTCCTAATGAGGAAGATATTATGAACATAATTATACTTGCATAACAGCAACTCCTCTCATCATTTATCACATATATAAAAAGGAATGTTTAAGTGCCTTAGCCAGGGCCCACATCCCTTTGGTTGCACACCAAGGTACTACTGAGTTGTGCCCACATCCGAATAGAGCAGTTGCCAACTGCCGGTTTACGATGTGTAAGTGCGTGCCAGTGCCAGGAAGCTGCCAGTGTGCATCTGCTGCTGAGGTGTTCATACACGACACATTCATGTGACACCAAGTCCAGAAACATCTATGTTCCCCCCCACATCAAAAAGACTGCTCATCACCAGCTTACCCTTCTCCACAACAAAATCCCAAGCCCCAGCGCATGCACAGTCCCAACACAGCCCAGTGGCTCTTACTCCATCATGGAGGGTTCTTTGGTTTCCAGAATATGGTCCGTGAGGATCCAGGGCATGGACATTTCAATGGGGAACTGGATACGGCGGCCCATGGTCAGCTCCAGGAAGAACTCCCGAAACCAGAGCTGGGACAGGTCACAGCACTGCTGCAGCGCTTCTAAAACACAGAGGAGATCCCCCCGGTGGGAGGGCATCATGTTACCCCTATGGGGACGACAGTGCAGGAAGTGCACAGGAGGTGGCTGCTGCAGCAGACTTGTTTTGGGTACAGAACATTTTTCTAGGATGTCTCTGTTTTTAAACCCAGATCACGTCCGTGCCTTCTGAGCACTTTGTAATGGAAGAAGAAAGAAGGGATCATTCCTTTTGCTCTAGAGCTCCAGAGAGAACATTTCAATGGCTCAGAGTTACTCTGGAAGATTTCTTCTGTGCCCAGTGGCTCAGAAGTTTGCCTGGGATGGAAAGAAAACTCCAGCCCTAGAAACTAAACTACCATTTGTAGGTATTTGCTATTGCTGACTCATTCCTGTTCACACAGTGATTACTACCCAGAAACACGGCTGTACCATGCAGAAATAGAACATTTGGGAAAAAACAAGGAAAATCTTCTGCATTGGCCAATGAGGAGCAAAGATGGTCTACCTTTGCCTGTCTGAGCATGCAAGAGTTTGATTCAAGCCTCCCCTTGCCATAAGCTCACCACTGATGTTGAGAAGATGGGTGAAGAAGAAGGACTGCTTGTGGAACTCTTCAATGGCCAAGACTATTGGCCCATCCAAGCTGCTCCTCAGAGTCTTCTTTGAGCCGCTCTTGTCTGCTATGAGGGACTCCAGCATGGTCCGCACCATGTAAAGCTTTGCAAGAAAGTTAACACACAGTTAGCACTCTCCAGTGAGACACCACCACATATATCCACGCCATTCTGCAACAACCACTTCTCCCAGGTGGCTACTACTCTGCACCCATAAGCCACCATGATTCCGAGCTAAAAATAATTACACCCCTAAAAGGAGGCTTTGGGAACCATACAATGAACTAGGCACCAAAGCAACATTTAACACACAAGAATGTGAAGGTTTTGTGAAGGAGACCACAGAATCAGCTGCTCATCCACCGGGTGGGAGACTCCTACATGGCTGTTAGGCCATTAATCAGGCCATTAATTACACAGGAGATGGAGATTTACATACCTGTGTACTTGATGGTCCTACTGCTCTTCGTGGGACTTTAATATCAAATCCACCTTTAGGATCCTTCTCACCTCTCAGGCAAGGATCATTTGGAGGTTCCCGACCTCCCTCCCAGTCACAGATTGTCTTCCGAATTGCCTGAAGGACACTAGAGTGGGTGGGAGAGGTAAAGCAGTGCTTAAGCTTGATTCTTCTTCACGATGAAAATATTCACTGCTGTGCACATATGGGAGGAAAAGTACCTGAGGTGGGGTCATTACTGAGGGAGCCAGGCCCAAAAGTTACACTGGCAAGAGTTGCTGGCCAAAGTATGTTGACTGGTTGTATACCATGAGGTGTAAGGGTGGTGTAAGGGTCCCCTGCTTATATAGTACAAATGTGTTACACAAATAAATACATGGGCTTTCCATTACACTGAAGGACAGACTGACCTGATCAGAACATTCTTCTTCTTCCTGACTGCCTGCCTCAGTGGCTCTCGCAGGGTCACTTGGGCAAAGTCCTGCAGGGCTGCATAGATTGTGTTGCGGATGGCTTGGTTGAAGACACTCTCCATCCGGCCCATCAGCACTTGCAGACCTTTGATCATGGCAATTACCTGAAGCAAAAATTAAACCCAGATGTATTTGCTAATTTTCCATTGTATGGAGAGGTCCGTAAGTCCAACATTAAGAGAATTTGGGATTAAATTAATTCTATTCAAGTAACTTAGTTTCAGTAATGACAAAGGTATTTTTTTTTCAATGACATGAGCTGCTTTACAGATCACAATAAGCTGAGGAGAGCATTTACACCCCCAGTTTCTTGCAAATGGCCCCTGTTCCTTGGCAGGCTCCATTTCCACCCCTGATCTCTTGGTATCCTTAGTAACACACAATCCCAGGAAACTGCATGTGCTTCACACGTGGGTGCAGCTGCGTGGTTTGCACAGACCTGCATCTGCACCAGGGCACAGTCTTCTTTGTACAAAAGCACCGTGACAATTCCCAGCAGGGAGTGAGCCACAGAAATTAAGGCAATGTCCAAACCATCTTGGACAGTCTAAGGCAAGACGAAGGTGTGACGGCCTCCCAAAGCCAGGCGTGGAGGACTATTCCCACTGTCCATGGAAAGCTGGACCAGGAGTTGATAGGTCCTCCTGGGGACTGGCTGAGGATCTGCTAAGTATGGTGAGACGCCTTTTCCTACTTTCCTCCTGTCTGGAGGAACACGGACAGGAAAACAGCCCTGGCAGTTTCTTACTCTTACACAGTTGGCACCTACCTCCACAAAGGCAAACTTCTCCTCACTGGTGTAGTTGTACCGGGTGGCTCTCTCATACTCCTCTGCTGTTCCGGGGCAATCCTTGTTACAGAACTTATCTGTGGGATGAACCAGCTTCCAAGAGTACTAGAAGATAGAAAGAGACACTGTCAACATGGCAATGACTAAGAAGCCAGGATGGAGGGACCGAAGAGGGCCCTATACCAGGAAAACACTCCCTAGACATTACTACCTTTGGTTGACATTCCTTTGGGAGCAGAATTTGTGCTTCTTAGCTTTATTATCATTGTACTGAATACTGGCTTTGTTTATTTTGGGGGCTGCCAGTCATACTGCGCTTTTGACATCCATGGACTTGTGTTGAGATGTGGTTGAAACTTTTCAAATTAAGAATTTCCATCATTTGAATTACAGTTTTAGTTGCTCAAACCCCACACTCATCTCGACCAGCCTTCAGTACTTAACCAAGGTGTTCAGCTTAGGACAACAGTCACACAGGCCCCCTCTAACATCAGTGGGGACACCCCAGCACCTGTAAAGGGCAGTTCAGGTCTAGGGTGAGATGATCAAGCTCTTTCTCTGTGTGGTACAAGGGGAGCTCAGGGTGATGAGCTGCCTGGTCTCAGCATGTTTGTTAAAGGCCTAAAGTTAGGTGGCATGAAAGCAAGCTCACCTTTCCACAGTCTTTGTTACGTGCCATGTCAAAACGTTCACGCTCACCTGGGAAGAGGAGGACGTTACACACTCACCACTTCCATGACATGGGCACTCCACTTGGACAGCAGCTGCAGTCCCCGTAAAGCGAGGTCAAAGAGCTCCCTGTACTCCTCATCTGATTTCTGGCTGTCCAGTCCTGAGCCAGTGACCACCTGGAGAACATCACATCATGTCAAGGCGAGACCATCCTTGGTATTAGAAATCCTTGAGAGTCTCTTACTGATTAAAAGTTCAAATAAGCACTTACGAATGTCAAAAAGAAAAGGGCTGAGAATGCGAACAATTCATTAAACTAACAGTGATGACTGAGGATCACACATTTGCAAAAAACCAGTCACAATTACACCAGAGAGAGCTCCAACATTCAGTAATGAAACAAACAGAGGTGCCCTCATTAAATGACCGATATCACTGACCGATAGCTCTGTGTAAGACAAAAGACCCATTTGCAAGACATTGCTGTTCTGACACCTGGCCAACAATAAACAGCTGCAAAAATTTTTCTATTTCTTATTTTAACCAAGCAGTGGCCAAAGAGCAGAAGCTTTTGCAATAGATCAGTGCAGGTGATTTTGCACCTGCAGGGACCTTTCATAACTTGCCTTTTTATTGCTGGATCAAGAAGTGGTTAGTTCCACTTGTGTCCTTCTGCCCTCCTCACTGTATGTCCTTGGCAGACCATGCTCCCACCACACTTGTCCTCTCCCAGCCTCGTCTGTCTAACAAGCCTGATCACAGCGACTACCTGCTGGGCTTACCTCGCTGTTGCTGTAGCGAGCGAGCTCCGAGATGAAGCGGATGTGGTCGTCTCGGATCTGGACCATCTGCTCACAGATGTTGTACTGGGGACTTATGCTGCTCTGAGTGCACGTCCACCTGGGCAAAAAAAGCGCAAGGGTTTCAAGGACAGGACACAGGGCTACACTCAGACACCCCAGGGACAAACCCTTGTACTCAACTGCTCTCTTCACTTCAACATGCTCAAGACATGCCACCTTCAGGGCAGATGTCAGCCTGTGTCTCTCTCTTGTCCTCTGCTGTGTGGCATCTTCCAGAGGTGGTCTCACACACCATGATGGGGACACTTGCCTCACCTTTCAGTCTGAACATCTCTGCTCCACTCACCCTGAAGGCTGCTCTCCATGTTGGGCTCACCTGCCCTCCTGGGCAGAGGTGGCTATTTCCAGGGCCACTGTTGGGCCTACACTGTTGAACTGCAGAGCCCCAGCATCATTTGCATCCTTTCTGCTAAACTAAAGGATAATCATGCCCTTAGAGGTTACCCCTCCAGGTCTGAAAGGTCTGGGTCATGCTGCCTTCTCCTGCAAGGAAAGACCCTAAAAGAGGCCAGCAAGGAAATATCCTTCTCACTCTGTTTTTGGTGCTGGCTTACACTACCAGCTCAACGAACAACCCTGGGTATAAATGATGAGCAGAATATGCTTAAGTGAACTAGATTTTCATTTGCATTGAGCAACATATACTGTGTAATAGTGTAATGGGGTCCTAAAAGAAGGCAGCGCTCCCCTTCCAAAGGCACAATCGTATGAAGAAATGGTGCAAATCAGGACTATTTAATTCAACATCTCATTTTTTTCCCCATTCTGTAGTAGCCACAGACGTTGAACCAGAACGGCTCCACCAAAATGCTTTATGCAAGCAAATGCCTGTCAGTGAGATCCTCATGTCTTACTCTGTCATCACAATGTAAATGTTCAGATCTTGGAGTTTTCCCCCCCTTAAATAATTGTCCATCTTAAGACAGATAGTCATCTTCTCCAATCTAGATTTGCCATACAAAAGGAAGGCAAGAAACCTGCCTCTGATACGGACACAGACACAAAGACATACTCCTGCAGTTAACTGCGAGGCACCTGTTGCCAGTATTTGTGATGGTAGAAGGTCCTGGAAGTGCTGGACCATGTCATCCCTTGTGAAATCCATCCTCCCACAGTCCCATCGCTTGGCTCTTACCCGTTCCAATGTCCTGTGCTCCCCACCGGACAATTGGCAGGTTAGCAGGAACAGCCGGGCTGCACCAGCCCTTCCTGCCACACACAGCCTAGTCCACAGTGCGGAAACAAAGCGCCATGCAGGAAAAACACCAATTAAATCCACTTTCATGGAGACAGGGAGGGAAAGAAAGTGACAAAAACAATATTAGTAAGAAATGGGGATTACATGGAACCACCTTGGCAGAGTTAGTGTTGGGAGTCCCATGCAATTTGCTGGGGAAGCAAGTGAGTGAGGAAGAAACATTGGTTAGTAAGGTACGGCACACAGACCTGGTGAGACACACTTCAAGACAGACATTAAAACTGTGCACAGGTAAACAGCCCGCGAGCTGCCTTGGCTTTGAGATGAGAAAATGAATGCAGCTGACACGTTTCATTGAAATGTGCTTTCTGAATGATTTGGGATAAAAAGGCGTAAATTTTTACAGTTTTTCCCTTTTAAATCGAGTTTTCAAAAATATTCTTTAAATTTACATTTTGTAGATTTTTTTAAAATTTTTTTTCAATTTTAATTGAAAACCTTTTTCTCAGCAAGCTTTGCCACACTGATTTCAAATTTCTCGTGAACAATCATCGGCACTTTTCAACCAGCCTTTGGGAAGGCAGGGGAGGACGTTCCTGGGCAGGCAGAAAACCAGACCTGCCGGGGTGGAAGGGGACGAGCAAACAGAAGCAGAGAGACGAGACTGCAGGTTAGTCCCTGTCCTGCTGTAGACAGCTCAGCTGGGCTGCTTCTTGCAGGTACCAGAGAAATCTGCTTTCCATGCGATGTGCTCCCATGGGTGAAAGAGCCGGCTGCCACCAGCGACTGCAGCCAGACACCACTCGGATGGGCTTTGCTTACGTGTGGTTGCAAACGTCGTTCTGAGGACATCCAAACCTAACACCCGTCCTTCTAGCAATAACTGAGCACAATGCGAAACTACAAGGATATGTGGGGCCTCACACATGCCTGGTGTTATCTGAAACAACGCCTGCAGGTTCATCTGACGGGAGCAGCAAACGGCCTGTGAGCCCAGGCTGGGAAGCGGTGCTTTACGCTCACAAGAACTGCCGAAAAGACTCAATTTCTGCTCTTCTCCCTAAGTATTCATTAATTTTCAATGCATCTGACCTCCCCAGTTCAACCCTCATTCCCACTGCCCTCCTTCACAAGACCTGCCTGAGCTAGAGGAGATGCCCTGGCTACTGCAAAGAGGTCCACTGCTGCGTTCATGCTCTGGAGGATTTTGTCCTGGGGATGAAAAATGTGGATTAAAATCTCTCCAGAGCAGGAACACGCTGCTCGCACTCACACACCTCGCAAGCACTCAGCGGCTGCCCGGAATCCATGTGCCAGCTGCCTTTCCTTCCTCCTGCCTTGCTGCCGGCCGCCAAGCACCCTCCCGGACATACAGGCATGCCCGCACCCCTGCCTGCACGCAGGGGCACGCTTACACGTAGGTTCAGAGCTGCACACGCACGCAATCGGGGGCCGGCCAGGACATCTTCCCATGCAAGGACAGGCAGGAACACACGTGCACACAGAGCCGGCACGCGCCGGCACGCCGGGACTCACACCTCACAGGGACACACACGGGTACCCGTGCACAGACCTCACGCACGCCGGAGAGTTGCAGCTCCCCCGGTTTTTGGGACACACACAGAAGCCAAGAGACATTATGGCAGGCACTCACTTGGATTTGTTCTCCTCATAGTGAGCACTGGTCTTAATGTATCTGGCCAGTTCTATCTGCATATCGCCGAATAAAGGAACCACCTGCAGCTGCTGGAAAAGAAAACAAAAGATGGTTGAAACACAGCGGAGAGAGAGCCCGTGGCCCCAGTGCAACACGAGGGACTAGGAAACAGCATCCTGCAACTCTGAAGTTACGGAAAGTGTCAGGCTGTTTAAAGCAAGGTGCAAACCTGGACCCGGGGTCATTTCACACCTAGGAAGCGACTGAAAATGATCACAAGGCTTTTTGTGCAAGGAAAATTACCCCTGTGAATGCTCTGGAGCCCTGGCCTTGCCCATACCAGCTGGTCATTGCCAGAACAGTTCAGTGCTGTAACCAGCAGGGGAAAGGCTCTTTTTACAACAAAAAGAGAGAAGCATATTCCTAAACAATGTTTATTTTCTCCCACCATAATTCTCCAAGAGAACAGAGGGATGAAAAGGCAGCACGTTGGTACTTCGGCAGCAAGTTGCTGCAGCTCCCTTCAGAGGGGAGCTGTAGGCTGCTTTGCTGCCTGTACTGCCAGAGATGCAGCAGCTCTTCCCAGGGACTCACACTGCACTTTGGTGCTGTGACTGAAAGTGATGGGTCTCAAAACTTCTCCACAAAGTGAAGACACAGGCAAAAGCTGCCTGCAATACAACACGGCTTTGCTCGCCCTTTACATCTCAGGAGGATTCAGAAGGGAATAAACTCCAAGTGCCCTGAACGCACCTCAAGCTGAGACAGGTCCCTGCTTCACTAAGCTTTCAGCTGCAAACAAAATTAAACCAGGAGCTACCAACAACTCTTCAATAAAACCTGAAGCTTCAAGTTCACCCAGTTACAAAAGCCTTGCCCCAAAATTCAGGGAATATGGTGACAGGTTTCCTGTCCTATTATCACATGCTTCTCTTCTCAGGCTGGCTTGTATGGAGGATGTGTAAGGCTGTCGTCAGGACTCCCAGTGGCGCTTTCATAAAAGGTCTAAATGAAGGAGTAGTTCATTTTCACGACTCAAATTCCTGGTCAATCCACTAGAAATTTAATCAGAAGGCAATAAGCAGATGTATTAAGAGGAGCAGTTGGTCTTTTCTTATTGAGATCTGATAGTCTAGAGTGGTACTTAACTGATTAGGTGAGACCACAGCAGATGTTGGAGAAGTGCAAAGGGAAAAAAAGCTGGAAAGCAGAAAGTCATTCCATGCAATGGAAGGTATTTTACCTGATTCTCTGATGGCCCACAGCACTTTGCAACAAAGAGCAAATCTGTTTGAATGCACCAAGATGCCCAGACTCTACAGATTACATTGAGGATTTGACTTAAACTGATTCAGTTGAATTAGCAAAGCTGAAACAGGGAAAACTCAGAAGACTGCTAGTCCCAGCCTGTGCACAGAAGCAATAGGCAGGAGGTGTCATTTCCTCCTGCGAATGCCACAGGTGGTGCTGTGTGGGTCTCAGCCCCACTCTCCATCTGCCACTGGTGGCTGGCGGCTTGCACACACACCAGATTTTGGGAGAAAGCAACAGGGTTATCCCAGACCTTTCTTGTGGTCTTGGGGGAACGCAGCCTGGTCTCCAGCTGTGGACCAGCCTAGGGCTGGACTCACGTGCATGGGCAGAGGGAGGCTGCAGGGCTGCTTCCCATCCCGTCACTGGGAGCATCCAGTGCTAGCGGGCCTTTCCCCAAAACCTAGATCTCAGATAAGACAAAAAATGGTTCATCAAACCAACAGGTGAGCCCTTTGCGGAGTTTGCCGAGCACCTCCAGGTTCCAGCTGACACAAGTTCCCCAAGAAGCTTTTTTTGTCCTACAGGGAGCTCAGTTTATACACGAAAAAAGGCTGCCAGCTCAGATGTTGGCTGGCCAGCTGTGGCCCCTGTCCCTCCGCTTAGCAGCTTGCTGAGTGAAAGGGGAGTGCAACCGTTACCTGCACAGACCTCAGCAAACCAGCCCTGTTTGCCAGTGATCTGAAATCACAGTGCTCCTCAGGAGACTGCAAACCTACCTCAGAAATGTGCGAAGAGACAGAAATGGTATCAGCCTGGCACGCTGTTCCCTCATCCACAGAGCAGACCTCCCACGTTCTGTCCCCGACTGCCCCTCAGTAGGAAGCAGGCATAGCCACAGTGGGAGCCGGCGGCCCCCAAAGAA